AGTAGAGACGGGGTTTCACCGTGTTAACCAGGATGGTCTCGATCTCTTGACCTCGTGATCCACCCGCCTCGGCCTCCCAAAGTGCTGGGATTACAGGCTTGAGCCACCGCGCCTGGCTATAGATTTCTTTTTAAAATGTATCTATTACAAGACCCCAAGCGGGCTTTATTTTTTCTTTTCAACATCCTGTTTTGCAGCTTCCTTGGCTCTTTTTGTCCATATGCCGAAGAGCCAGGTGTTGGCACCGGCCCTGCGGAGACTAGGGAAAGCTTTGAAAGTCCTCTACTTCTCAGTGGTGACTCGGGCTTTCTCCTCCTCCTCCTTCTCCTTCTTTTTTTTATTTTTATTTTTATTTTTATTTTTATTTTTATTTTTATTTTTTGAGTTGGAGTCTCACTCTGTAGCCCAGGCTGGAGTGTAGTGGCGCCGCCTCGGCTCACTGCAACCTTCGCCTCCCGGGTTCAGTTCAAGTAGTTCTCCTATCTCGGCCTCCCAAGTAGCTGGGATTACAGGCACGAGCCACCATGCCCAGCTAATTTTTGTATTTTTTAGTAGAAACGGGGTTTCACCATATTGGCCAGTCTGGTTTGGAACTCCTGAACCGAATTGATCCACCCGCCTCGGCTTCCCAAAGTGCTGGGATCACAGGCGTGAGCCACCGCGCCCGGCCGGGCTTTCTCCTTCTTACAGAAATTCCGGATGGGAATGACTGGTCCTGTCAACTGGGTGATCAGTTTCAGTTCTTCAGCAGAACTGTCTCCCTTCTTGGGGGCCGAGGGCTTCCTGGGGAAGAGGGTGCGTTTGGAGAAGTACTCCTTCAGCCGCCGCACATGGGCCTGCAGGGGCTCGGTGGACTTGTGCTGCCTTCTCGGGTCCACAATCTACAGAGATGTCAGTGGTCCCGGCCACCTTCTTGTGAATGTCCGTCACCCTGAGCTCCTCCAGGCTGAAGCCGCGGCCGGCGCACACCTTGGTTTGATACCGCACAGGGGGGCACCGCGTGAGGGGCCGGAGGGGTCTCGACGCAGGCCGCGGGGCGATGCAGCGCGCCTTTGGCTTGCGCGGGCCTTGAGTCTGCGGATTTTCCGCGCCGGCTGGGTGAACCACGTGGCCACGCGCCACTGCCAGTCCTGGGGGAAGTGGGGCTTCAGGATCACGCCATCCCGGCTGGGCCCAGGGCTGCCTACCGCCTCCTGCGCAGGAGACACTTTATACATCTCCACAGCAGTGTTATGTAGGAAGGTTTTATGGCGAGTTTTGTAGCATAGATCATGTTACCGTAGGACTGATGGTAAAATTTCAGTTTACGGAAAGCTCTGAAAATTTGAAAATATGTAACCACCTGATGGGTTTAGCTTGCCCGCTGCTAAGACAGGACCATTTATCAAGACAGCGGCAGGCAGTGCCGGCTGTGCGGGAAAACCCATTTTATTGTTACTCAAATCACTCTCCCCAAGTGGACTGGCGTTTTTAAGGATAATTTGGCGGGTAGGGGACCAGTGAGTTGGGAATGTTGATTGGTTGGATCGGAGATGAAATCATAGGAACTGGAAGCTGTCCTCCTGCCTTGACTCAGATCCTGGAAGGGGCCACAAGACCTGCTGAGCAGGTTTATCTTGATGGGTGGTGCCGGCCAGTCCACGGAGTGCGGGGGTCTGCAAATATCTCAAGCACCGATCTTAGGTTTTACAATAGTGATGCTATCCCCAGGAGCAATCTGGGGAGGTTTAGAGTCTTGCCGCCTCCAGCTGCAAGACTCCTAAGCCATGTTTTCTAATCTTGTGGCTGATTTGTTAGTCCTGCAAAAGCAGCCTAGTCCTGCAGGGAGGAAGCAGGTTTCTTTAGGAAAGGGCTGCTATTGTCTTTGTTTCAAAGGTAAACTATCACCTAAGTTCCTCCCAAAGTTAGGTCAGCCTACAACCAGGAATGAACAAGGACAGCTTGGAGGTTAGAAGCAACATGGAATTGGTTAGGTCAGATCTCTTCTGCAATGGTGTTTTCAAATATTGCTTTAAAGAAGACCATAAATTTGTGCTGCTTTCTCAGATTTTGAGAATACGAACAAAAAGTGTATGTTTTAATGGGAGAATCTTAAGAATTTCACTGCTGAAGTGGATTTCTGTGTCCATTAACAGTGCCAAACATTTTGTATTTCCCAGGTAGGAAAACAAAGTCTGCAAGCTTTGAATGATACTTGTGATTATGTTTTGATAACAGAGCTGCTGTACTGTTCCTCTTTCAAATGCTCAGTAGCCACATGAGGCATGTCATACCTACCAACTGGATGGCACAGATGTAGAACATTTTCATCACTGTAAAAAGCCCTATTTGACAACACTAACTTAAAGTATTAATCTTTTAGAAGAGAAAGGTGCAGTCCAACCAAAAATTACACAATTTTACTTTTGAAGATATTGTTGAAACATGTTCAATTTTTAAAAATTTTGGACAACGGAATAAAATCCATTTGTAAATGCCCAAATGGTACTTGAGGTGAAAAATGGAAGGCTTGCCATAGCTGTAGGTTTTTGTAGGGTTTTGCTCAACACAAAGAAGAGAAGATTCAGGCACCCATAGAGCTTCTTGAGGAAAATTTTCTAACAATAATTTTGAAAATCTGGAGTGAATTTGTTCTTGCCATAATTTATGGGTGCTTTCAAGGGCTCAGCACATCCAAGTTCTGGAGAATGACTGAGACGCCACCCAATGGCTATTTTGGGAAGACCAAGGTCCTTTGCCTTCTGAGAGTTTTGACAAGGTCAGTATCTTTCTGTATGGTAGATTCTTGTTTTTTAATATGCCCGTCTGGGTTTTTTAAACACAGAGAAACTGTTTTTACAACACCTATAGTAGTTGTCTAGGGCAGTTGCTCTAGCCTCAAAAGTTCATAACTTTAGAATGGGCTTTAATATTCACAACTGAGTTATTTTCCTCTGATAAATCATTAACATTTTCCCGTGTTTTATTGTAGTGCTCATGGCAGTTTAAAATACCTTATAATAGTGTATAATAACATGTATGAACAACCTGAAGCCACATGTAATGAACAACCTAAAGTCACATGTACGCTTGTATACAGGTTAGCTCTTAAATCTTCACCAAGATTCATCATGCTCAAATTGGAACTACAGTTGTGCTTCACACGAAGGCCTTTCCATCAACAGCTAACCACATATATGACTGTGGTTTTGTAAGACTGTAATACTGTAGTTTTACTGTTCCTTTTCTGTGTTTAAATACACAAATACTTATCTGTGTGTTCCACTGTCCTACAGTATTCATAAAGTAATATGCTGTGGTGATTTGCAGCCTAGGAGCAATAGGTGTGGGGTAGGCTCTACCATCTAGGTTTGTGTTAAATACTCTCTAAGATGTTCACCCAGTGATGAAATGGCCTCATGACTGATTTCTCAGATCAGATCCCTGAGGTTGATCTAGGGATAACTGTGTTAGTCCAGTCATCTGGGTAGATGTTGGCAAAGGGATTGTTGCCATTACAGAAAATTAAGAAGTTATGGCATCTCCAGTACAAAAGTATACCGTGAATTTGTTTTATTTTATTTTTAATTGAGAAACAGCACTGATACCTTGATGAATTTTTAAAGATATGAACCATCAAAAAATCAAGAGTTCCCTGGGGGGAAGTATCAGTCAATACATGGCATGATTTTGTAT